TATTTGAAGTCAACAAACCTTTTGTTTTCGGAGCGTGTCTTGCCACAATTAAATTAAAATCAAGAATAGGGGCAAAAGAGGACAAATAAAAATGATATGCTTAATTAAGGACAAAACTAATTATAACTGTTACGAATTTGGAGTTCTAATACAATATTGAAAAGTAATTAAGCAAACTTTCTATTACTTTAATTAATTTTAGTGAAAAGGAAATAATATTTTAACAAATTTATACAAACACTTTTATTCAAATACCGAATTCATAAGATTAATTACGGGGAGTTTGTAAACAAATTATGCTAGCATTAAGTTTAATTTTGTCTTAAGTTTCTGTTTAACTACTATTTATTTGTTATTACATGAATTGTAGAAGAAAGTTAGAAGTACAAGCTATTTAAATTTAATGCATCTTTTGGCCTTTTAAGAATGAACACAATTGTGTTCGTACAATCACGCACATAAATGGATTATTAACAATTCATATTTTTAAGAAAGTCGTTCAACTCACAATTTAAATGTTTAATGAAGATAGCATTTTTTTTCATTATTCATAAAATTGAATTGCCAGTTTCTGTTTTTCTTTCTGGTGAGTATTATCCTTGTATGCAAACCATATCAAATTAAACCAAAATTAAAAAGAAAGAAGTAATCAACTAGATACCAATTTTTGCACAAATATTCTTCCATTATCATATTTTTAAATCTCAATACCATAAAAGGGAATGCAATATTCTGTGATTTTACAATGATAGTATAATATATATTTCAGTATAATAAAAACTTGTAACATTTTGAGTATGATACATAATATTAAAATCGTGCAAAAAACATTATTTAAAATTAAAAAAATATTGGGTTCATTGAATGCAACTTTATATTAATGGATATTTTCATTAGTAGGTCTATTAAAAGCTTCCATAGTTCCATTAAAGTCTTAAGATGAGAGTTATATTAATTAAAAAGCTAATTATTTTGCCATTTTTTTCAGAAATTTATCATAATTTATAAGGTAGAAAAATGATTAATTCACTTTTCTTAATTAGGAGCACGTTATCAAATAATGCTTAAATGCTTAAGAATTCCTCCCATTTAATGAATTTAACAATATAATGGAGAAGTTATTCTTTATAAATATATAAAAAAAGGAGTAATGAGGTATAATTTCCCCATTATTTGAGCCTCACTTCTAATTTTCTACCTTTTTTTATTATCAACGATCTTGAGTTTCATCTACTTATTGAAAACCATTCATTTCAGGCAATTCTCCTAAGTATAAAAATCATTGTTTGCCTTTTAAATGTTAATGTATTAAAGCAATGCCGATAGTTAAAGTACTTATGTCAGCTATGTAATTAAAATGTACTTAAGATTTTTATAATTCGTATGCAGTTTTTGCAATTAGAAGTGGTAACTTAAAATAATTTTTATGCCGCAGTTAACTTAATTTGAAGCTAAAAATGAATTACGGACTAATATAAAATTTGTTTGAACAAGTTAATTACTGAAATTCGAAATAAAAAGGGAAAATATATACTATGTGGCTTTATATCATCATTTTATTTTAAAACTAAAAATGTTAAAAATGGTACTTTATCTGAGAGCTTTTATTAATTAAAATATGCAAATATTAATAACACATTTCAATTTAAGTTCAATGCCACATTAACATGCTCTTTTCTTTTAATTTACGTTTAATTTACGGCAAAATTCGGCGTATAGCACGCATCGGTGTATAACGGGCACCCATACTTTCAAGCTACATTTTTTTAGTTTTTAGGTATATTCGGCGTATAACGCGCACCCCCATTTTTACAAAGAAACAAGAAGTGTGCGCTTACAATGCTAGTATGTTTTTAAGTCATTTATTCGACATTATTCCATGATTTCGAAAAAATAGTATACTTTTAGAATCAGAGTCTTTTTTTTTAAATGTATCTATTCAATGTGTTCTAAGCTAATGATTATTATTACTTGTAGCCCATTTATAATTCATTTTAACTTGAAATAAACATACTTCTTTAAAACAGCTAACTTCATTCCAGAAGGGATGTGTAGAATTCATGGGCCTTGTAATTCAATTTTATGTAATCAATTAAGAATAAAGACTATACAAGTACTTTGGAGTGTCTGGATACTGTTCGCGGTGGATTATGGAATGTTTGGCGCAATTCTCCGCATCTGTGGGGGTGGATTGCTATTTCGTAGAAGAAGGTGGTTTACTTTCGAACAAGGCATTCAAAGGAAATGATAATCCGTCGGTTTTGGAACGCGAAGGCGCTGGAGTGAGTTTTGTGTAAAAGAAGGGAAATTCCTTTGTGTGCTTAGCCCTAAGCACAGGGCTTGGTTTGATGAACAAAGAAGACATAGTTTCTTGGATTTTGTGTTTAGCGTGGTGGATAGCGCTTGGTTTGATGGTATTGAGAAACAAAATAATTATGTTGGCTGTTAACACGAAACACAGAGTTGAGAAGCATTAAGAAGGTAAAAGAAAAAGACAGTACATACTCATTAAATAACAATAGTTCTATTCTTAAGTACTGTATAACATCTACAAACGAATGAAAGAATTCATTTTGTGTAACATTTGAATATACCTTTCATATATCTTACATCGCCGTCCAGTTCCAGGTTCTTAATTAGCAACGGTACTTTTCCATCTATCTTCTCATCTTATTAATTTTATTTGCATATTGTTTATTTGAAAATAATCAGGAACTTAAGAATAAAGCATTAATACTTATTTGGCTCGTCTCGTATCGAGAACGTTGAGCTTATATGAAATCTTTTGATAAACGCCGACAAACTTTCTGAAGCACTCTCGTTAAATGCAAAAGTGCTCTTAACATTGAGATGTAGTATTTCATTTTTGAAAAGAGAGAAATATCCCGAAAACTTCTATTTGTTAAATAAGCTTTCAGGAGAGAGATCAGTGCTGCAGCGATAAAATTAGCCAGATAAGACTTAGAGATTTAGAACCTTTCGACATTTCGCCTTTCTGGTAATTTTAAAGCAAAAAAAAAAAAAAAAAAATATTTGTTTCAAATTTTATTTGTACAAATATATATGTTAAACTTTCAATTCATAAATAAAAAAAACTATACAGTTTTTTATTGTAATGTGCTGATTTTCCTTATTTCTTCTAAGTATGATATATTTGTATCTTTACCATGGAAATTAAAAAATGGTTCGCAGTGAAGTTTGACTAATAACTACAGAAAAGAAAATTCTAGAAATGGATATCATAATTTTGAACAAATCAAACGATAAAAATATCATAAGGAACCCGTTACATCTATTTTCCCCATCACACCATGGAATAAGTGTATGATTCTGCTCCATTACAAGTTTAAAACATTTAGAAACGATATGAAAACTCCTTTTACTTTTTTCACTATGTAGGTAATGAGATTGGGATAAATCATCTCTCTGAAAAAATAAACTTTGTTTCTCCCCAGTCAAGTGATTGAACAATTTATTTTATTCCGTTAACTTAATGTAACAAAATTTATTCGTTTGAATAATGTAAATACTCAAATTTTTATATACAATGTAACTATAATAAGCAATTCTGGGTTGATTAAATGTGGAAAAATATATATTCTGCGAATTAAATGTGGTGTTTGTTTAAAATAAGCTTAATGCATATTGATAACACATGGGTATTATTACAGTTTGAATAAATGATATGAGACACTCCGATATTTTGTGGGTTGCAATCTTAATGGTACTAAACATCCACCGTTTAGAACAGTGGTTCTAAACATATTGTGCTGATGAACGCCTTTTTATGCCAAAAATTTGATCATGAACCTCCAAAAGAAATGCATAATAGAGAAATTATGAATTTAAATTTGATGTCCTGAAAATGGTAAATGAAAAAGAAATTGACATTGATAAGCCTTATATAATAAGACTATTTGTAAAAAAAAACTCTAACAAAAGTATAATTCTGATTAATTAAGTTATGCGCAAGTTAAAAATTGCTTGCAAAAATATATACTTAAAGTGCTTTTTATTTTCTTAACATTACAAAGAATAACAATACTTTAGGTTCAAAACAGTAGAAAATTTGTTTCATTCGCTTCACATCTCTCGACTTTTTAATACTGCCATAATTTAGAAAAATTATTTCATGTAGAGTCGAGATTCCGTTCCTATTTATACTTCAACGACGACCGCATTCTTGATCAGCCCGACTTCTATCATTTGACTCATATCATTACTTATATTTCATGAATCTATCTATAATATGTTACAATAAATTATTTTTAATACGTAAAAATCTCATGATTTATTTATTTTAACTTTAATAATAATGGAAATGTGTCACAAATATTTTACTTTATATAAAATATTTCACGAACATCCTAAATGTTGCTACGCATTCCCAAGTTAAATTTTAACTGTCCACGAAACCCCTCATCAGTCACATCTTTCCTACGGGTTCTGTAGGAAACAATCTGAGAACCTGTGGTGCAGAGTAGGTGTCTTCAACCGGTTGTGTGTGTGCCCGCGACTATAAATGACCCCCGAAGGCATTTTAGTGGAATTGAATATCAGACAATTTCAAAAACAATTGACTTGTCTGCTTTTTGTCTTAAGACATGCCATTTTTGAAGTTATACTTCTTTTGGGGTGTCAGAGAAATAGGATGATGGTAAATTTTTGCAATGCACGCGCACACCGTCACGGATGCAAAAATCCTTTATCTAGAAATATACAAAACGGGACAAATCATTCTCGCCTTCGAAATTCTCTGAAAAATATTTCTCTTCACTTCCCTGAAGAAGTGGACACCCGGGTTTGAACCGGGGACCACTCGATCTGCAGTCGAATGCTCTACCACTGAGCTATACACCCCGTGTCAAAGAGCCTTTGATTTGTGTTCCGTAGGAACGTATACGAAAATGTGTGCTTTGTCTAGAAATATACAAAACAAGACAGATCATTGCCACCTTTGAAATTCTCAAAAAAATTATTTCTCTTCACTTCTCTGAAAATGCAGACATCCGGGTTTGAACCGGGTACCTCCCGATCTGCAGTCGAATGCTCTACCACTGAGCAATACACCCCGTGTCAGAGAGCCTTTGCTTTGCGTTCCGTAGGAACGAATACGAAAATGCTTTGTCTAGAAATATATAGAACGGGACAGATCATTCCCGCCTTCGACCCCCCTCCCCATGTTATTGGTCCTATTGTCTCTGTGCGGGGGTGTTTAAATTTATTTAAACCGTGATTACCTCAGGTTTGGCTGGTCCGATTGACTGAAGGTTAGTATCGTTCAACTCGGCTCATCACCGCCTTTCGTTCTTGGCCCAGCTTGCCCTGCTAAAGATTTTTAGAAAGATTTTAATCTTGTTACGCCAACGAAGTATAACTTCTTACGTGCTACATAAGTACACACACACACTTTTTTTTTCTGTTGTCCTCGATCTTTAAAGCATCCTGCTGATGAGGGTTTTGTTAAAAAAATTTTTTTTACTGAAAACAATTATAAAATCTCCGTGCACCACAAAGTATCAACGGGGCTAACAGAAGTAAGTATTAATCACACAAGGGAAAGAAAGAAAAAAAATGTTAAGAAGATTTACAAATATTTACAACAAATTCACAGAAATTTTTAAAAACACTTCTGGTGGAAGGAAGTTGGTGAAAATTCGATGGCCAATTAATTTTAAGTCTCTTGAAAGTCAGTCTTATAACCTTTCTCTCTCTGACACTAATGTGTTTCATGTCCTTTATAATAACATTTTCTAAAAATGCCGAATGTTTCATAAATTGCACTGTATCTTAAATAATTTTAAATATAAAAAAGCTGACGATGCATGAAATCTCAGAAATTTTCGGAAAAAAAAGATGGACTCTTATATTTAATAGGTTTGCAAAGAATTTTAATTCGACTTCCATTTAAAAATTTTGTGAAACTATGTATATATACACACAAATCTGTAGACACACCAGGATTGTAAAACAAACCCCCCTTTTTTTATATAAACATTCTGACTTAATATTTTCTTGACAGTCATGTGGCCTGCGGATGAATGTGAATTTATTTATTTGGCTCTTAAAAGTGTGAAAGGTTGAAGATCCCTTGTGTAGGGGAACAGATGCCCTTTAAATAAATTAAAACTTAAGGTGTCCGACTACCCCAAAATCATGATTTTTCTTACAAATTGGCAATTTTTTATGATTTTATTTTATAGGCAATCTTATTAGCTTTACAAAAATACCAAAATTTTTATTTTCCATTCACTAGATCAAAAGCTACAAGCGTTTTAGTAATATCAGATGCCCTAACTTTACATACGATGTCAAACTTAAAAATGCGTTTTACTCGAAATGAGTTTTTTTTCCGAAAAACTCGAACGAGGACAGTGATTGCTCAAAAAGTTTTTAAAATAGTTTGCTGAAATTTTTTGTGTGTGTTCTGTGTAACAGTATAAAAGTGCTTTTCCCTTCCGATTTATCAATCACTGTTTGATTACCAAATTTACGGTTCTTTATGTGAATACATAATCACTGTTTTTTTAAGCAATTTCATATATTGCAACTAAGATACAGTGCACTTGATTTTGTAAAAATTAAAATATATCTTATCCTGAAGGTCACTTCAAAAAGGAATAATAAAGTAATACATGAAAATTGAAAATTTGAGAATTTGTTCATTTACTATTTGAACAGAGCGGGCCTCGTTTATGTTAATTTTGTTAATTTTTACATATTTTTTTTTTTCCATTTTAGTAGTAATCATTTACTATTTTTCTCTTCTTAATTTTAGCCTTAGTTTTCTAAAGTGTACTAAATAAATCTAAAAACCACAAAAAAATCTCCAGATCTCCATATTTAAAACAAAAATTGTCGCAAGTAGTCGGATACCTTAAAAAGTCCTCGCGTTTCTACAGAGTTAAAGTTCGCAGAAAAATTACCACGAAGAGAGAGCTCCCATGTCATTTTTGTCGCTTGACTGCAGTTCAAAATTATAATGACCTCTCGTTGTAACCCTGGTCCAAATTAAAATAGCAAAAAAGCTTCACACTGAAAGGTATCCGCTCCATTTGTACCATTTATCGTAAGACAGATATTTTTACTAAAGAGATCAAATAATATTTAGAGAATTTATTTGAATAATGATTATTATAAAAAAATAAATATGTAGAGAGTTTTACTAATTAAGAACCTGATTAAATTCGGGATCCAACTCTAATAAATAAAAATTGCAATAGTTAATACATACCTAAGCGTTAGATTTGTAGTCACGGAATCTATTTTTGTGGTGGAGACTCTCTTAATCTAGTAAAATTACTGTGGTCACTCAGTAATGCTTCTACAACACGCAGTCTAATTTATGTATGCATCTTCTATAACTTTTCTTCTTTATTCTCTACATTTTTACTTAAATTCTAATACTGGTTTGTATTAATTGTAAGTATTTTACAAGGCGAGATTCCAAATCAAACACCATTGCAAATTATCCCCAAATGTTAGTTATGAGAAAAGCTCGTGGAAATTCTCTACCATTAATATTAATACTTTACAGTGTTGCCTTCTGAAGACAATGTTGATAAACAAACAATCAATCCATCACACCTCCAATACAGAATAAGAGTATATACTCTTTAAAAGCAATTAATCATCACCTCTGAATAGATTGACATTTCCTATTATAAGCTGAATTAAATCCGACCGTTGAGTGAACTAATGAGAACTGTGGATGGTTAAATCTGATTAAATGTGATCATTGTATTAATTAATTCTGGTTGTTGCTAGTTAAATTGAATTAAACACGAAAATCACATGAAATATTGTGTGTCGCCTTCGGATAAACCAACGTAAACTTGATGAGCTCATATATTAATAAGCAATGAGGATTATTATGTAAAATTAAACTTGATCAGTACGCGAAGGGTGAGGGACACTTATCCTTAAATCCAAATTTACATGATTGTTGTATGAATTAATAAAATGTAATGTCTCTCATTAAAAATTTATATGTAATTTTCACACATACAGATTTATGAAAACAATAAATTTTTGAATCGAATTAAATATGATTATCGCACGTATTGATGAAACTTTTTGCTCGTTAAATGCAACTATATATTAAAGTATGGATTTATCGAGGTTGCTGTTTATTAAAACTTACAATACGTCGAACAGAAGTTAGGTACTTCTCTTATTAAACATCACGGGTTTTTGAGGTTGAAACTAGGAAAATTTAGGTGACCTCTTTACAATTCTTGAGCTTCATTTAGAAATTATAGGACTCTAAATTTAAAAGGCGTGGGTTCTTGTCATAATTATGCGTTTTAAATGCAGTTCACAATCAGTGTTTTCAAAAGGAGCGAAGCGGTAAAATTTAAGAGTTGAATTTCATAATTTGTTATGATGCCAACCTTGCATTTCCCGAAAACCCTTATTTCTGATAGTGAAGAGTGAGTCAAAATATTTCATTACGATTTTTAAATATGTATAAACATCAAATATGAAAATTTTAACGCCTTAAAGGTAAATTTTAGGAGACAATTTGGATAACATATGTATTAATAAAAATATTTAAATAACATGCGTGCTTCTACTGAGGGAATTGTATTGAATGTTTATAAAATGTTTTGTAACATTTTTATTGATTGGGATATTTTTTTAAACAAATAGTTACAGAATTTACCCTTCCAGAAAACACTTATGGACATTTTCTATTAAGAAAAATACTCATGCAATATTCCATGCAAAATTATTTTAAAAATTACACTTAAACTATCTAATAATAATAATCTAATGGAATGATACTTTTAATATGTGTATCTTATGATGTCTTAATTTAAGTTATAAATGAAAAAAAAAACAACCAGAAATTGAAAAAGAGAGTAATGTTCAAATTAGTTATCGAATCCCTGAAAAAAATTAATCCGCATTTCGATTCGTAAAAATGAATTACTAGTTACATTGCTTTCAATTTCTTGTTTATCTCAAAGCTTTTTTATACTGAGAAAAATATCTTACTGTAATATACACTGAGGACTGCAAGATAACATCAATATCTTGAATAATTCTCTAGCATTCTAAATAAAGCAGATAGTTTCTCAAGTTGAGTTTTTCAGCTTTTATTGCAACTATTTAAAAAGAACAATTCATAGTACTGGCAGACACATACACATAAACACAACTAAATCCTTTTTTAAATAGCAAACAACGAAATTCCTGAATCAAATGAAGTTTTTTTTTTTAATATTTAACTCAAAAGAGCATACCTCTTAAAATCATTTACATGTTTTTAAAGAATATAATTACAAAGTCTTTAAAAGACTTTGCCTTGGAAAACTGAATCAAGTTGAAATAAAAAAATTAGACGTAAAAAGTCACGGAAACTCATGGTAAGGATTACACAAAGAAGATAAATTTGGGACATTAATGATAATCTTTCAAATACCTCTTAATCCCTATTCTCAGATGAGAGGATTCGCGCTTTATTTCTAGCAATGAAGTTTTTGTATGATGAATCTTTGAGAGATTGATTTTTTTTCCTATTTTAGATTTATCTGTTAAGAGAAAATGGCAATTTATTGAGAATCTAAAATTACAGAATGTAATGTCATTTATTGTTTAAAGATAATTGAAGAATAATTGTTCAAATAACAATTTATATATTTCATTTAAAAATGTAGATAGCATCAAATTGTGTTCTCTGTACGGAATTGCATTTGGTATAGTGGTTATTGAAGCTGACTGCTATGCCATTGTGCCTGGGTTTGAATCCCGGAATGTAATATGTACGGTGCGTTTGCAGCATGTGGGTACTCTAAAAAGCCGTCGAGCCGCAAGTACTCTCGTGAGGTTGGAAGAAGGGGAAGAGAGGTAGGAGGCCCCGACCATTTCAGGGTGTTCTCTCTCCAAATTGGGGTGAAACTGAATCAAATCGCAGTCACCTGTATGGGGCTCCAAGCTACGGATAACGACCTGAGTACATGTAGCCCTTTGCCACGATGAATTTCTCGGCCTTGATCTGATGTTATTGTCGACCATGTGGCATAAGTAACAACAGCAACAAATATAATGAAGTTTAAAACACAC